TATTACATAGATGAATTCCACAGGTACTAGTTTCATTTTCTAACGTCGTTCTACTTAAAAAGGAAAATTATTAATTTTAACATACAAATCGATCGGAATTTGATATTTTACAATTTACGACATTGCTTTATACATTGAAAAATAAAGCAGCTATGAACACTTTAAGTGGAACACCCTGTATACTGTAATTACGAAGTTGTCTTCGATTTATTCGACGATTTCGCTGCTTGAGTTCTATCGGTATTAAAAAAAAAAGGTCTTTGCTCACCATTGGGAAATAAATATTAATTTAAAATATGTATAAATACCTATATATAATAAAAAAAAAACTGAAGCGTATAAATTTTTGTAAGAAAGGACCTTAGTATTTAATCTGTTAAATGTGAAATGTCTTGTAAGCCGTGCGCAACGCGTTTCAACAGCCATAAATAAATAAGTAAAACGCCTGTGCAGACGTCATTGAAAAAATGAATACGCTAATAAAATATAAATGAATCACAGCTGTTTCTTTCACAATTCCTACAAAATTATGCATAAAGATGATAAAAATAACAAATGTAATGTTAAATGGTAGACTTCGTAACAGTGGTAAGAAATAAGCTAATTACCGTAGTATGTGACTATTTCATAAACAAGTAAGAATTTGCCATTTATCTGGCGTATGAGTAGATTTTATGATTCATATAAAGCATATATCTTTACAACGACTCGAATATTAATACTGTATGGAAGAGTAAAGAATAATACTTATTTCTATATACATAAATATCAACTAAAAAGTTGTAATCTACATGATTTAAAAAGAAGTTGAAATAACAAAATAATTCCGACTCATGTCCGCTTATAGAAGAACGTTATAACTTCTTCACAGAGGAACTTCTTTTCTTAACTCAAGAACATTTTTTACATGATTATTTCGAAATCAGTGATACGTCACTCAACCTTCTCGTGTAAAAGTACTTTCAATCTTGAAATTGAAACGAGAAATTTCATTATCAAATGTATACGGATCGCTAGTTATTAGCGAACATATGATCTCGAGTGTAATTCATGGATGTTGCTTGTCGTAACTGTTAGCATTGTATAAAGCACTACCATGGATTTATCGATTGAAATGGAATGCTAATACTATTTACAATGTTATTGACTGAATGAACAGGCACACATCTCTCTTAAAAGGTATCGTACAGTTCATTCGTGTGCTTGTTCTACTTCATAGTAGACGTTTTGGTATGATGCAAAAAATTTTCACTCATTCAGACTTCAACAACAGCCTTGATCAAACCTCAGGGGATATGTTTCTACCAGAAGTAAAGTGTTAGCCATCTAGAGGTGGTCCTAAGTACACCATAGATACCTCTGTATTTCCATATACGGCAGATACAGATGGGTATAGTCTTTTGTCTGGCAACCCTGTATATTTAATTTATCATTAATAAAAAAAGAAATTCTATTATTAAACATATCTATTGTTAGTCAGAAAGCAAATAGGATACAATACCTCTAAATGCCACTCCCAAAAATTCATAATTTCTTTCAAAAGATAACGTGTTATCATCACAATCTAATATTACTCTAATTCTTTCCCCAACCTGTTAATTATAAAATTTTGGCACCTTAGGGAATATTCTTCTACCTGTATAAAAAATGTTATCGCAAAAAGAAATGCAACGTACCTGATACTTTGGAGCATTATTAAGCAAGGGATAATTCCCTTGTACATTTCCATTGTGTAACAGATGATTATCTACTAGATTCCATCCCCATGAATGTTCATCAGAACCAACTAGTGCTACGTATCCATGACACAATAGAGGTGCTTCTTTCGTGGCAATGCCTATTACTGCTACCGTTCCCAAAGGTCCTTCCCAAATGACTTCCCATGCATGACGTCCATGCCGAAAGCCAATTTTACCTCTACAGGCATCTGTGCTTTGAGCAACTGGATTCCTATAACTCAAATAGTAAACATTCAAGCACTCACTTGACATTTATATGTAAAAAGAAACCACACTCGAAATTTTACATTTTACAATCGTATCGTTAAATTACTTTCATTAAAAAATCAGCTGCAGATTTTTGCGTTACTCGTTAATCTTTGATATAAGGGTAACAGAGTTTGACGTCGCGTCTGAAAACCCGAGACCGAGATCGACATCGTAAACCACGAATTTAACAGCGGTGATGACAGAATCCAAGGTTCTACCTGTGCATGGTAAATCCATTGGGCCTAATGTAAATGTTACGGGAGCAGTCATTAGGGTTCCATGCGTGGTAAAACGCACGAAGCTTCGATTTGTAAGTAGGCACCGACGACAATAAATCGGAACTAAGCGCCTCCTGAGCCAACTTCCTGATGCAGTGCATCCTCCACGCTTCATTATTCTCATCGTTTAGGAAACGATTCCATCGTTTGCACACCAGCGAACAGTTCCTCAACGTGTGCAGGTCTAAATAGGAAAATATCACTTCTAAAACATGATCAGACACTCGGAGCGCTATATCGTCCATTTTGCCGGTTCTGATCGAGTAAACGAACAAAACACACGCGCAGGAACGCCGTGCGGCGTACATCTATATATCAAACTTTAGGGCGATCTCTATGTAGCAAGCACAGAAAATGTAGATATTAGAGAGGCACTCGTGACAACTGTTCTGTTTCGGGTTATTCCACTCTAGGTTGTGCTCGTAGCGTTGTACTCGACGATTGAAGCAGAAGCCTTTTTTCTCGGCTCTTCATGTGTGTGTTGATCTGAGTATCGTTATTTATTTATTACGATTCTTGTATTTGCTCGATCTCAAATGGCGCAGAGTAAATCCACTGGTTCTTTTATAAGTACTCCTGGTTTTTGTTCTGATTGTGGGTCAATTCTACCATTGTTAGAAGAAAGAGGTGATGTACGATGTTACGCTTGCAAAAAAGTTTGGGGTCCCGAAGGTAGCTACCACTGTCTTTTTGTTCTTTCTTTTATTTCTTTTTCAAACTTCTGCGTCAGAATGAATATGGTTGTCATAGAATTGTAAAGAATAATTGTAAAGAATTGCTTTTTAAACAATATCTTTGAGGTTAGCTTTCGGAGATATGGAAATGTCGTATGTTATTCACTTTAACAAAAAGAACGTTTATGGTTCGTCAAAACAAAAGGATGACAAAGAGGAAGAGGCAGAAGGTCCAGTCGTCGAAAGGAAATGTCCTCAGTGTCAGAATAACAAAATGTCTTATGCTACGTTGCAACTGAGATCGGCAGATGAAGGGCAGACAGTATTTTACACATGCACCAAGTGCAAGTATGTTCTTTTGTTTTTTTTTTTTTTTTTTTTTTTTTGAAGTTATTCTCTAGGAGGGAGGAAATGTTTCTCACAGAAAAAGAAAGCTTTTTTTTCTAAAAAGAGATTTAATTTTCAGATTCAAAGAAACAGAGAATTCGTAACAGAAGTTTTTATTACACATTTCAATTTTTACATTCAATGTCATTTAATTAGATGATTGGTAAATGATCATCAAAACATGAAACACTCTGCGTTAATAAAACATAGAGCTTTATTTGTGATGCACTCAACAAATATCAACGAACGGGTAATAGTAATAATGATAATAATAAGAATCATAATAATTGTCACAATATGAATTATCATTATATTTTTCTCTCCCTAATAATTCACGATTGAAAATTTCGTAATAATGTTTTTTTTTTTCTTTAATTGTATATATTCCATTAAATATTTTGTACAGTACATTGGAATAAAAGTTGTAACAATTAGTTTTAAGAAGTTTCTATTAATCTTCGAAACCATTACAGTGGTCCTTTTCATTATAAAATCCTGGTATTTAAAGAGTCTGTTAGTACGTCGCTTACACTACGGGATAGATTTTTAATTGTTAGCTATTAGTCACAATAATGTTTTATATTTTCTTTAATGATAAAGAGAAATAGATACGCGCTATCATATATCGAGGAATTATTTTTCAACAACCAGTCCAGCAACTTAGTTATATACATAATGGAAGTTTCACACTGTGACAGTGTTGAAAAGGCTCCTTTTCATTATCCTAACATTGATAAAATCAACAGGAAGGAATCTTTACGCATAAACAATCCTCTTCAACGATTACACATACTTACTTACTATGAAGTTACATTTTGAATATAAAACAACAATACATAATCATTTCTGAAATGTAAAACGCACCTAATAGCAACTTGAAATTGTTAATAGACACGCGAAAAGCAGCAATATCGAACGCAAAACAAATTATATACCATCACCAAAAGTTTCTAAATTAAAAATAGAAGGAATAAAATATCAATTATCATCAATGATACATCATTGCATACGCATTACCTTTGAAGATTTTCCTTTTCAGAGAGAAAGTTTCTCTCTTTCCTGAACGCTTCTCCGAAGCGTTCAACTACACGTCTTTTCTCACACGATTCGCACTTGCCTCGCATATAATGCACAAAAAAAACGAAAGAGGAACATGTCTTACAAATTCGTAATTGAACGTACGAATTCTCGCCTCGCTCGCTATAGAATATTTAATAACATTTGTCCATTAACAATATAATATATCTCACAAAAAAAAAA